CCCCCCCCATGACGTCTCGTGCATGGCCTCAGTCAGTCGACCCTGGCGCCCGTCCTATGTATGGACTTACGACGTATGACATTAGTGCCCATATGGGGCACGAGCAATGCACACGGGTAGCCTACACTCGTATGCCACACAACTGCTGACAAACACTCACACACCCTCCACGTGCATGGGCAATGCATGTGGAGGCTGGCGCCTCCATGTGAATCTACCATACTCTCTTCAGCCGAAGTTGAGGCCTTAACACAACCCGCCAACCGATCTTGGTCGCTATGGCCTCGTGAGGGGGGGCAAGTGATGTAGGGATATCTAGCCGACCTGCGGATCCTGACACATGGCGTCGGCCGAATGCATCCCGACCATCCATTATCAACCACTGCCACCTGCTCCTAAATGCCCCTCTTCTAAGGAAATTCCGGCTATAAAAGGGGCTCCCACATTGAGGTAAAGACACACAGAATTAAGTTCTAAGTTTCCTCTCTTACTTGGTCCGACCGTTCACAGCTCTCGGCTAACTTGATCGTTAGAGTCTTTGCCCCTGGGGTAACTCCCAGGGCCTCTGATGTCTTCTTTCTCTCAACAGGTTGGACCTGTCAGCCTTGAACACCAGAAATTATGTTGTTGCCCTCGGCTCCATATTTGGCAACAACAAAAACTGATGATCAATGGGTGGAGTAAGAAAACAAAGCTTTATCGTCAATTTCTACCTTGGTTACTATGGTTGGTTCAAGAACCGATGGTTGCTAGTAACACTCTGTGAGAAAATTGAAACCAGCAAGAGAAATCTTCAAGAAACATACACCAACGAGCTGAGAATGCCAAGAGGGAAAGAAGCAGCGCTGCACAAGGGTTTTGGAGTTTCAGAATCTTCCCAAGAAGTCTGTGCCTCGTGGGAATACACATATGAGAGCTGCCGGTCAGAGGAATATTGGCCTTTGTTAGATAAGGCCATATAATTTGTTGTTTCATCATTTTTACTCTTTTACTTCTTTTACTGTAAAATGAAAAATGCCAAAAAAGTTGTAAGATGAAACTACTTTTTCATTGCAAGAAGTATCTCAAATAGTTTATTTTTTGTTTTTCTCAGATTGTATCTAGTTCAAACAAATTGGCAATGGTGTTATGAATCTTAACCAATATAGTCTGCATTAAAAATAAAGTGAAGAAGAACGAAGGTTGAAAAGATGTTTAATTTCAGGAATATTAAGGGATTTTAATCCATGTTAAACAGAAACTACTTTCTAAGAAATTCTAAATGAATTCATTCTGTATTTAATTATTGTACTATGAAGTCATCAAATGTTTCATTTTGTCATTAAATCTCATCTAAAAGGAGCTATGCACCTCTGACATTCTTTCCTCTGGTGACAGAAACCAAACACCTTGTAAAATTTGTGCAGATATATAATTTATTTATCACCATCAACCAAGCTTCAATTACTCTCTTTAATTATTGACCTTCTCAACTTAACCTAATGTGAAAAAAAGAATAAATGAGCCTGAAGTTTTATCATTTTCATCTCCTTATCTTTAGCTTGAACTGCTTTAATTTCAATTAAAATCTTCTTTTCGGGAAATTGAACCATTTAATCCAATAATTAATTGTACTCTTTCACATGTTCATTTGCATATAGAGAAATCAAGTTGATTTATTAGTTGAGTGAGATGGCTAATATTGTACAGTTGTTTCTTGTCAAACTTGCAACTAATGGTAAGTTAAAGTATGCAGTTCTCTTCATGCAAAATTAATATATACTCTGCCATAATTGTAAAAGAACTCCACTATTCAGGGGAGTCATGTAATTCTTTGGTGAAAATTGAACTAAGGGCGGAACTACAATATTTTCTTGAGGGGCCAAAACCTAGAAAAAATTAAGGGGGGGGGGCATGGGGCAAAAACTAAGAAACATGGGTAAGGGGGTTAAAATATAAGTGGAATTTAAATGGGTTTTGTGGGAATTTTGAAGGCATAGGGAGGCCATGGTTCCCCTCTGCCCCTGGTTGAACTTAGGGGGCGTTATTTTTTTGGATTTTGAGAGGGGGGAAAGTTGGTCAATGGGATTTTGGTTCTCATTGACCAGGAATCCCATGTTCTTTTTTCAGATTATTGTGGGGATCAGGGAAAGTTTATTTTCCTAAATATCACTTACCCGTGTAAGTAATACCCATCTCCTAGGTGAGTAAATAACTTTCCCACTTGGGGGGAAGTTTCTAACACTTGAATGGGACAAAAATGCCCATTTTAATAATGAATTTTTATTGTTAAAATGGTCATTTCCTTTTTTACTTGGAGAATAAAAGAACATGGGTAAATACACTTACTTGGGTAAATGTTTCCTAGGAAAAACTTACCCAGGTAATTGCATTTACCTGGGTATGTAACTTACCAGAAAACGAACGGGCCTTAATCTCAATATGACTCACAATCTTCCATTGATAAAAGTATGGAATTCCATGTTTCTAGAGCTTTCTGAAAGCATATATCACTTTAAATTTAATAAACAATGGTGAATCAGGGTCATTTCTTGAACCTCAAAGAGTGACCATTTCTCTTGTGATTTTTTTTCCAATGGTTAATAGAATATCAATACCAAAAACTGAACCTTTTAGTTTGTTTAATTCATCATGTTTCTCTTTTTTCTTTTAATTTGGTGATGTCACAATTGATCTATTGCTTTGTTTCTATAGACCTTTTACATTAGGGCCTTGTTCATTTGTAACAATGCAACTTACTTGGGTAAGTGCATTTACCTAGGTATTTGGGTAAATGCACTTACCCATGTTTTTTTTTTTAATTTTAGATTCTTAGGTAAATAATAAAATGATATTTTTACCCACAAAAAATAATTATTAAAATGGGTAAAATGGTTCCATCATGTTTTGTAAAAATTTCTCTAAGGTGAAAAAGTTACTTATCCATAAATAAGTTTTACCCAAAAAAATAAGGATAGTTTTACCATGGGACCCATTGCTTAAGGCAAAAATAATACGGGGAAACTGATCAATGGAAAAAAAATTACCCATTGACCAAATTTACGGCCCAGTATGTTTTTCTTGCTTATGTTCAGGCTAATTTTTGTCATTAACGTAAGAAGAGTTATGAGAAGATTGATAGGCATAAGGGCAAAACAGACATTTTAAAAAACAAGCACATTAAATAGGCTTTTGCGGAGATAGTTGCATATTTTCTAAATTGTACAGGGGATGTTTTTGATATTCTTTCCTCGGTAATAAAAGCTCTTTCGAGTGGTTGCTTAAGTATTTTTCTCTTTTTATTTGCATTTTACGCACGTTACAGTACACGTAGCCCTTTTGATTTGTTTCTTTTTCTTCTATGTGCAACAAGAGGGGCTGCTACCTGGTTCCTTGTATGTTTTGAGAGTCTACAATAGTGTCCGGCGCCTTCATTTTCTTCGTTTTTGGTTGATTCAGAAACCCGAAATGGACCAGAGCCAAGAGTTGGTGGATGAGAATTCTGAAGAAGTTATAGGAAATGTACCCCCGAAGAGTTCTGAAGAAAATGTAGGAACTGTACCCAAGGAGAAGCAGGAAACTCGGGAGGAAATGCTATCTAGGCACCGGTAACAAACTCTTCTTTATATGCTCTGTCTGTCTCCCTGATCTGTCTCTGTTTGGGTTTAAGAAAGATGAACTTATTGGCAATGCAAATACAGGAGGCAAAATAAATACTGTTTTTATTTTATCATTAAAAGAAGCTATTTATTGATAAAGAAAGGGTGTATTTACATCATTGAGTAGCCTCGGCTACCCCTTACAACAGAAGACAGAGAAACCCTAAAGATTTTGCTTTTCTATGTTACAACTGTGCCCAGAATACATGTTCTCTGTTCAGCCCTTGTTTTGCCAACTGATCAGCTAGATTGTTGGCTGATCATGGAGCCCGCTGAAATAATAACTGTAGGTCTTTTGACAGCTTTCTAAATTTTTTTTATCTCATTTCTGAACCACCATGGATGCTTTTCCTCTTTTCTCAGCCAGCTTAGGATTACTTTAGATTCACCTTCAATTACCAGCTTTT